CTGCTGAATTAAGCAGAGCTACTTCTTTGTGACCAAACAGCTCTACCACCTTTAAAAGGTTTGGTGAAGAATGCTCCATCACTATGCACAGCTTCTCAGAGCTTTCCAGGAGGCAGATGGGCAGAAATCCCTGGAAGCACTTCTTTTGTATCCAGCTGAGTCTGGTACACTACTGCATCACCAGTGAAGCAGAAAGCAAAGCAATGCAGGAAGCCCTGGAGTCTTCAATGAACCAGTGGCACACGACTGCACAGACACAACATGCCATCCATGCAGTCTGAAGAAAAAACAGCAGGAAATGAGAACTCTTGCAAGAAGATTAACTCAGCATACGTGGCATACACAGTGTGACACACAAACTGTTTAATGCAGTTGTTCTCAACCTTTCTGGACTTGAGGCCCCTCTATAACTTCTGTGAATCAAGTGGCACCCAATTTTAAAAACGAATGACTATATTACAGTGCTTACCTCCTGGAAGAGGGGCCAGAAAGTGGGCATGGGGGACTGTTCAGGCAAGGACAAGCCTCAGCCTGCGTTTATCTACATAGCTTATCGACTGTACCCTGGTTTGATACACGAGCACTCATCAAGGTACCAGTTTCCTGCCAACACAAGGCTTGAGTAGCACCATGGGTGGATCCAGGATTTATTGAGGTGGGTGCAACATGCTGCTCCTCAGACCATTGAGGGGAGGGGGCAGGTGTGGCTAGAGATCATGGGCCAGTGGGGGACACTGGGGACCCAGGCAGGGAGCAGGTGCACAAGGTGGGCAGGAGGGATCCAACTATTACGGCCCCTGGCTGACCTGGGTGTGAGGGAGCCCCAGAACTGTTCCTGCCCTGCTCCAGCCATTGACTACAGGTGACAGCTGTCTGGGAGCCAGGCTCAGCTGGGAACAGTGACAGTAGTAGGCATGCTCCTCCTTCCAGCGCCCACACACTGCTCCTGCCAGGGTTCCCCTGATTGCGAAAAGCAGGTGCTGGAAGGAGGAACATGCTCATTGCTATGGCTGTGCCTAGCTGTGTCCACCTCCACACAGCTGCTCTTTGTATCCCGCAGCTGGAACAGGGCAAGTGTAGCTCTGGGGCCCCACTTGTGCCTGGATCAGCCACAGACAGGTGCCATGCACCCCTTGGGATCCATCCCTGACCAGCACCTATCATATGGTTCACGTGGGCACTATCCACTGATCCAAGACCTGAGACTGAGATTGGCGACACCTTTCCTCTATTTCCATGATGACTGGAGGAGTGGAGAGTGTTGTCTGGTTGTTTTCCAGAGTGAAGCTGTCGGCCTCTTAGGAGGCTGGGAAAGTTCTTGTCTGACCTCTGCCTTTTGACCCATACCTGGTCAGGAATAGCACTTCTGCCAGCATCGCTCTCCAGGTCACAGAGGCTTGCAGAAAGACCCATCATAGCAAGGCACCAGTCTTGATGGAGCAAGCTGCTCTGCAGGCAGGCACCCACCTCATGCAGTCGTACTGACATCACTGGCATCCTACGTGGGCGCAGGCCTGCCCCAGGGCTGACAGTAGTTACTTGTAACAGTGGCACAACGTTCTTGGGCAGAAGTGATGCTTGTAAGGGGGCCCTTTATAAAGAAAACACTGAAGAAAGAGGAATGACAGCACTATGCATGCGCAACACAGATGCATTCATATTTTGGTATTTACCCTTCACAATTTTAAGCTCCTGATCTTAATGTAACATTAGGAAGGTCTGCATTATTTGGCAGTACCGGTGCCAGTACTACCAAATAATGCACAAATACAAATACTTCAAGGAAGTTCACAAATAGGAAAAAAAGAAAACAATACTCCCTCTCTCCCCACCAAAAACACACGCTTATCACCTCCTATCGCAAAGGCCCCAAAACAACTTCTTCATTACTTACAAAATTGAGAAGTGAATTCTGTTGTTCATTAACTCCCAAATACAAGTGTTTATGGGGGGGGGTTGAAATCAACCCACAGATTGTCAAAGGACAGGCTCTAACAGGAAGAATATCCTAAAGTATTGACAAGGCGTTCATCACGGAGGCTGGTGATTGAATTACTGTGCTTGTCAGCTGCTGGCTGAGCTAGCCAAGCCAACAGGATGGATTCGTGTTCCAATCCGGCACAGAATGCCTACATTGAATCAAACCCTGAACCAGATGCATCCACGCTGCCAGAAGAGACCTGGGTGCACAGAGCAGGGAAAAGACTAACCGACAAGAGTTTGTGCAGGTTTGCTCTGGTCTCGAACAGCATTTCAAGGACTAGGGAACAAAGCCCGAAGCGAGCAGAACTAGCTGCTTCTCACTCTGAACTGAGAGGTCGTCTTGCCCTTGACTAATGGAGGTGGCACTGGAACTGGAACAGCAACAGGGAAGGACAAAGGCTTTGTCCCCAGCACTCACAGGCTCCACTGACCTGAGCTCTTTTACAAGACTTGCTCAAGTCTCACTGAGATTTGCAATCATGTGTTTAACTGGCCTGGAGGATATGTCTGAGAGCACACTTTATGCCCCTGGCTTTATCCTCCCTCGCTCGCGTTCCACACAAGCATACTGTCAATGGAATGCCACATTACCTCATTTGTATCATGTCAATTAATTACCTGCAGACAGAAGAGCAGGTTTAACTCCATTTGTGACAAATAAAACTTTCAACAACCAGCACAGACTTCTCCCCAGCTTTTTGGCAGTAGCTGTGATAAGGCTGCCAGCAAACTGTGGCCATAAGAACCAGTTGTTTCCTCAAGAAAAACCTTGGATTCTCCACTGAGGCTCCTTTCCCATGGTCTCTGAAATGCAGCAGACAGTGCAATTCTTGTGCAACTCTCACCTACAGCAGACAGTAAAGGGCCTGTCCTCCTAAAGGTACACCAGCAGCATGCACTATCTTGTGGAACAGCTCCAAAATCCTCTGTGCTGAGATCTGTTACAGCTGAAATTCTGTTCTACTCTAAAAGGGCCTGCCTGAACCCAGACAAGGGCACCAGGCATACTCTAGGTACTGTAAGAAGACAGAATGTCAGCTTCACCTCAGCCTGTACTTGCTTCTATGGCCTGAAACAAATCATGTGTACGTCTATCACTGGGACCTGAGCGGTCTGAATCACAATAGAACCCTCAGGTCCCAAACAGGATCAGGGCCCTGCTGTCTCCTAATACGTCACATGGCACCTGGCACAATCCAATGAACAGGTAGGAAAAGCACTGTGCTGGCAAATAGCACAACTAGGAAACAGGGACAAACAGGAAACTGAGACTGATGAATTTGTGCAGGTTTGCTCTGCTTTCACACAGCATTTCAAAGACCAAGGAACAAAGCCTGAAGCAAACAGAACGAGGCGCTTCTCACTCTGAACTGAGAGGTCGTCTTGAACTTGACCAATGGACCAACAAGAAATTGAGGGACATTTGCCTGGGGCCTAGGAGAAGTCTGGGGCAAGGCAAGACCTGAACCTAGATTTCCCCAGTCTCGGTTTGGTGCATTGGCCAGAAAACCTCTCTCTGGAACAGTGGTTCTCAACGTTTTAAGACTCAGGGCCCACCTCTGCAACTTCTTAATGCGGGAACAACCCATCTGAGAGCCAGTGCTGTGCTGCGTCAGCTCAGTGGTTCTCCACCAGGATATGCTGCTGCTGCCACCTGCACGTCTCAAGTGGAGCTAAATCGGGAAGCGGCTGTGGCAGAAGTTGGTGCTCCTGTCTGCATTAGGGTTCCTGATAAGCCTAAAGCAGCAAGGGATGCTGCAACCCCCCAGCTGAGAACCACTGCTCTAAGAGAATGAGAGGCCTTTGAGCCCCATCCCTACTGCCCAAAGCACTCAACAGCTTGTAGCTCCTGCTCTGGACAGGATAGGTATGAACAAATCAAGAGCTACTGAGAATGGAAGCAAGACACTGATTTCAGAAGCAGACTAGATTACAGCCATCATCTTGGCCTTGCTCCACCCTTCCTTTAAGTGCTTCTGTGCTAGTCAACGGGCTGTTCCAGCCATTCAGAATCCTTGCTTGGGTTTCCCTCCCCAGCTATTGTGAAAACTGATCTCTCCAGAAACTCAGTTCTTTAAAAGAGCACTCAATAGTAACGTTCCTAGAGAGCGGCCAGGCATTAGAATCAGGCATGGTGGAAGGAAAATAGATCTGAACTGAGACAGTCTTCAGTCAAGGTAAAAAAAAGAAGTGTACCTTAATTTTCGGATGAATATACCTGAGCGAGTCTGCAGTGCCCCCATCCAAATCATCACTGATGTACACGATATCTAGCTTCAGCTTTGTGTCTAAGTTCAGCAGCTTATGGATTTCTTTGGTTGTAACCACAATGACCTCTGCAACATAAAAGAAAACTAAGAGGATACAACAACAAACAAACGTGGCCACCTATCTGATGCAAAGCATATACTCTCACTTCCAAACTTTCTCCACTGCCCTTTAAGAACAATTTTGGTCAAATCAAGTTCTACAAATTAAAAGATCTTGGCCCAGGAAAGGATGCACTTTGCAAAAACAGAGAATAAGGTCCTCGATTAACGGCAATGGACCCTCTTTGACATTTTGGTCATCACAAGAGACAGAGTATGAAATTGAGGGCCCCTGCTCCTATTGTCGATAAGTGATTTATTTAAACTGTACTTAAATCAAGTCCAAGATATGCACATTATTCTTTACGGTCCTGTACTTTTAGAGATCAAATGCCACTTAAAAATCCCGTCTTAGCACATCCTGTCTTACTACCTGCAGGGTGGCTGCAAAGAGGATGGAGCTGGACTGGTCTCAGTGGGGGCAGATGGCAGGACTAGGAGCAATGGGCTCAAGTTGCAGCAAGGGAAGCTGAGGTTGGATATTAGGAAAAACTCTCTCACGAGGAGGGTGGTGAAGCACTGGAATGGGCGACCCAAAAAGATTGTGGAGTTTCCATCCTTGGAGGTTTTTAAGGCCTGGCTTGACAAAGCCTTGGCTGGGATGATATAGTTGGGGCTGGTCCTGCCTGAAGCAGGGGTTGGACTAAATGTGACCTCCTGAGGTCCCTCCAACTCTCATTTTCTATGATTCTAAGTATCACTAATATCAGCAGTGGAAGGTCTAACTGGATACCTCATCTTTTTTTTCTACCTCTCAACATGCACAACTTACTGTGGGGTAAACACACAAAAATACTGTTAGAAAGATCATCTCTCCTATCACCCACTTGGAAGGGAACACAAAATAATTTGATTTTGTGGCTCATAAGTGGGTTCAATCTGTGTAGGCAAGATAGAAAGGAAGTGGGTGAAACTACCAATGTAATACCAATGTGGTAACGAGGCTATTTCCTGTGACCCCAAAAACTAGAAGAGAAAGTGAAAAGCAAAGCTTCCTGGAGTTACCCTTGGGCGGGAAAAACCCATAAGATACTTCGCTTGGGGGATTTTTCCAAAATGCACGGTGGGGAACAAAGGCAGTCAGGGGCACAGTTTATCTCCTGGTTAAAGATGGTAGACTGATTCAAAACAAATAGATCTATGCAAGGAGAATCCATTCCAGATCTATTAAATCATGATACGGAGAAAAAAAAGACAGCAACCATGAAAACACAGCAGTTTGGTATCAGGGACCCCAAGTAACCTGTCAAAAACTCAGCTAGTTCTGTTCTTTAGAACAACAAAGTCAGAGGTAAAGATGACTTGATGCTGCACTCAGATGCATGCGCTACATAATCTGTTCCGGATGGCTTGGGTTCAAAACTGGCTGCCAGACCTAACCAGAGGAAAATAATGAGCGACACTGCCTTGGGTTGGAGACAGAGATGACTGGTGCAGCTGGGGCTCTTGTCAGATCCCCTTAATAAATATATTAACCCTGTTGATGGGGAAAGAAGGACTATTAGTGAAATACACTACTCTGGGAGATGTAACTACAAGCAAAAGAGACTATGTAGAAAGTACAGAGGAAAACAATGTAGGATTAAGGGTGGAAATAGAAGTGATGCCATGCAGCATGGCTTTGTTTGCCCAGGCAATTTCTTTCTTCACAGAGCTACACATTCAGTGTAAACTACAGACATACAGATGCAACATTTGGACTTTTACCAGCCTGGTGAGCACAGTACAATAAAGCACATGTTAAATGGATTCAAAACTGGCTGCCTGGCGTCACAGGGGCACCTACCCATAGATTCATAGATGTTAGGGTCGGAAGGGACCTCAATAGATCATCGAGTCCGACCCCCTGCATAGGCAGG